GCCTCGGGAGGCGCGCCCCGACCCGGCTGCTACAGTGCTTGAACAGTGGATCTGAGATCTAAATCCTCTAGGTTGACTTTTCATCCCCGTAACCCTAATTTTTTATGCTATGTTTGACTGCTCGTATCTCCGCATCTGTAGCTCCGTTTTGGGCGTATGATATATCAAAATCTTCGCCTCGACATGTACATCATTTCATTCCATTGCATCATTTGCATTTGAGGTCATCTTGTTGCCCAAAATTCTGTTAGAAGGAGGCTTCGTGAGTTAAATTGCAGATCCGTTAGTTCATCATGCACTTTTGTCATTTTTGCTATGTTTAATTCGTGCATGATATGCCTGTGCCCCTTTGGGATAAATTGTTAAGCATTTTGTCTTCTTTCCAGAGGTGCCACCCATGCATTTTTAGGATGTGTGTGTTGTCTTGTGCAAGCTTGCGAAGAGAGGTACCTGAGATTACTGATTTCAGGGACTTAGTGATTTTCATTAAGTCTGGGATATTTTAGTTCATGATGCTATATGTCCAGCTTGTTTCCTAGTGATCCGTGCCTCTTTTGAGGATGATCAGTAAGGGAGTTTTGATATTTATGATATGCTCTATCCATCCATGTCTTTGTTTACATATGTGGAGTGCTCTAGGTTGACTCAATCGAGCTCAACTTTTGCTTCGTTGTTAATCTGGGCAGATCGTCAACTTGTTTGCGATTTTGCCGATGCTACCGTTAGTGTTCCATGCATGCTATGCCTTTGTTCTTGCCATGTGTAGCTAGCACATTGTGCCTTCTTGCTGGTCATATGCTTTCCTTGCCATGACTTGCACCGTAGTGAGTGCATCGAGCTCGTTTACATGCCTTCGTGAGTTAAATTTCTGCATGCCTCAGTTTTCACTAAGTCTGAAAACTGATTGTGTTCGAGCTATGTTCGTGAGCTCGGTAGAGTATTTTGTGAACCCTTTTGGCCCCAGGTCACTTTGGGTGTTTTGTTAAGATTGTTGAGTAGCTCCATGCCATGTTCTTACTTGTCATGTTCAGGTTTTGTGTCATGTTGTTTTGCTGCTCCGAAGAGGGCTTCGTGATCTGAAATTTCAGACTAGTGTTAATTTCACTAAGTCTGGAAATCTGTTTTGCATTTGCGTTTTAGCCATGCTTGTTTGAACCTCTTAATGGATGAATTTGCCTATGGCTCAGTGCTAGTGTTTTGTCAACCATCTTGTGTACATCACTGCCATGTATTTGTTTTTCATGTTTGGTGGCTGTAGCATGTTCATTTCGTTGCATTTAGATGCCTACTTGCTGTAAATCGCAGACCGGTGTCGTATCTTAAAACGCTCGCCATTTCTAAACCGTAGCTCCGATTCCAATGATCTTTATATCGTTTTCAAGCGATTTCATCCCCTCTATCCAGTGGAACACTTGGTTTTCCAAGTTGAGGCCAAGTTCATGCATTTCCTGTCATTTCTTGCATTTTGCATCCCGCATCGCATCCCGCATAGCATATCGTCATTTCATCATATTGCTTGGTCTTGCCCGTGGTTGATTGTATCCTTGTTGCTTGTTTGTCTTGTTGGGTAGAGCCGGGAGACGAGTTCGCTACCGAGGAGCCCGTTGAGTTTGCTTGTGAGGATCCAGTCAACTCTGACAACTGTGCAGGCAAGATGATCATACCCTCGAAATCACTACTATCTTTGCTATGCTAGTTTGCTCGCTCTTTTGCTTTGCCACTGCTACGATGCCTACCTTTTGCTTGTCAGCCTCCCAATTGCCATGTTGAACCTCTAACCCTCCATTGTCCTAGCAAACCGTTGATTGGCTATGTTACCGCTTTGCTCAGCCCTTCTTATAGCGTTGTTAGTTGCAGGTGAAGATTGGAGCCATTCCTTGTTGGAACATTTATTTACTTGTTGGGATATCATGATATTGCTATGTTATCTTAATGCATCTATATACTTGGTAAAGGGTGGAAGGCTCGACCTCTCGCCTAGTGTTTTGTTCCACTCTTGCCGCCCTAGTTTCCGTCATATCGGTGTTATGTTCCCGGATTGTTGCGTCCCTTACGCGGTTGGGTTATAATGGGAACCCCTTGATATTTCGCCTTGATTAAAGCCTGTCCAGCAATGCCCAACCTTGGTTTTACCATTTGCCACCTAGCCTTTTCTTTCCCTTGGGTTCTGCAGACTCAAAGGTCATTTGATTTTACCCCCCCCCCCGGGCCAGTGCTCCTCTGAGTGTTGGTCCACCTGTCAGCTACCGGTGGCCACTAGGGGCAACTCTGGGTTGGCCTACCCGTACCTAGGACAATCTGAGTGTGCCCTGAGAAAGAGATATGTGCAGCTCCTATCGGGATTTTTTGGCACATTCGGGCGGTGTTGCTGGTCTTGTTTTAACCTGTCGAAGTGTCTTGAGTTACCGAGATACCGAGTCTGATCGGAACGTCTTGGGAGGAGGTCTATTCCTTCGTTGACCGTGAGAGCTTGTCATGGGCTAAGTTGGGACTCCCCTGCAGGGATTGAACTTTCGAAAGCCGTGCCCGCGGTTATGGGCAGATGGGAATTTGTTAATGTCCGGTTGTAGATAACTTTAACTTAACTTAATTAAAATGAATCAACCGTGTGTGTTACCGTGATGGCCCCTTCTCGGCGGAGTCCGGGAAGTGGACACGGTGTTGGAGTTATGCTTGCGCAGGATGTTCCTTAGTTTCTCGCTCGTGCTTCGCTTTCTCTTCTCGCTCTCTTTTGCGTATAAGTTAGCCACCACATATGCTAGTCGCTTGCTGCAGCTCCACATATATTTGCCTTATCCATTCCTATGAGCTTAAATAGTTTTGATCGCGAGGGTGCGAGATTGCTGAGTCCCTGTGGCTCACAGATACTACAACTCCAGATGCAGGTCCAGGTGTTTCTGCTCCAGTTGACGATTACGAGCTCAAGTGGGAGTTCGACGAGGACTCTCAGCGATACTACGTGTCTTTTCCGGATGATCAGTAGTGGTGCCTAGTTGGGGTTATCGATTCAGGGCCTTGTCGCATGTTGGGGGTCTTTTCTATTTTGGCACCGTAGTCGGGCCATGAGTGATTTGTTTGATGGATGTTATTTATGTACTCTGATGTGACGTGGCGAGTGTAAGCCAACTATGTTATCTCCCCCTTTTATTATATATTGCATGGGATGTTGTAATAATTGCCTGACTTGCGACATTGCTTTCAATGCGGTTATGCCTCTAAGTCGTGCCTCGACACGTGGGAGATATAGCCGCATCGAGGGCGTTACAACTATCCAGCTACCTTCAGCTTCTGTTATATGCACACGCATCCCAGCATTCACCAAAGCAATGTCATCCTGCCTTCTATGTGCCTGTTTAAATTCTTTGACATACTCAAATGGTCTTGTCCATGGTAGTATAACAGAGAGCAATATTTCATCATCCTTCAAATCAACTTTATGGTAACCAAGAAAGAAATCTTTTGCAATCGTGGTCCTAACATTATTGTTAACATCAATTATCTGGAATTTTGCACCTGTAGCCATCCAAACTGGATTTAGGTCTGATATTGGACTAGCAGTACAAATGTTACCACCAACAGAAGCAACATTCCTGATTTGTGTTCCAGCAAACCATTTTAACTGTCGTAGTATTGCCTGGCAAGACGAAGTTTGATGAGAACCGCGCTCTGCAATAACTTTTTTTAGGAACATCTGGAGCCATGCAAGTTTAACTGCAGAACCGATTCGTATGCCTTCTTCTTCCATTTTGAGGGTTTGAAGCTCTGGAACATGCATAATTGAGATCATGACCTTATATTGAGCATTCTTGAACTTTGTTTCAACTCCCACTTCAGAGTTACCAATGATAAGTTTAGCATCTGGGTAGCATGATTTCAGCTGCAGTAGCTGCTCTAGTTTAAGAGGTCTATACCACCGAATCCCATTAAGCCCATTCAATTTAAGTGGCATAATTTTTCTCAACTGAAGTTCTGGAGGAAAAATGAGCTCCTTCTCATTGTATGCATTTCCATCAGTTTCATTATATGAACTAGGTAAGTAGGTTTTCACCAAAGACAATAATGAAGATTCATTAGCATCAACATCTGTCTCATTTCTGCATGAACATGGCTTCCCAGTTGAAGGGCAGATAGCTTGGCCATTAACATTTTCTGAAAGTGAAGCAGTGTAGAAGGAATCATCTGTTTTTGCAAAAACACCGAAGGCATCTATTATTGGTCTGTAGCCAGTACAGCGACACAAATTTCCTGCAAGGTTGTCTTCAATCTGCTCTTTAGTAGGGGGATATTTACTTGATCTCAGCAGCGCATACATGGACATCACAAAACCAGGGGTGCAAAATCCAAATTGTGAACCATGTGCCTCGGCTAATCGTTCCTGTGATGGACGTAGAGCATCACGAGAAAGGCAAATAGGTATGAAATGGATGCAGGGAACTGATGAATGTATTTTCCTTCAGAATTCCACTTTTTTTTCTTGGCATACAGTAGAATACTAGGCTGTCAAAAATAAAAACAAAATGGACATGTAACAGCTTCATTCATGTCCACATTTCCAATAAAATAGATTTTAAGCAATAAACTCTGAGATAGTAAACAAGCTTAATGAATGGGTAGGGTTTTCATCACTCCACTTCACATCTTTGGACACATTCGACCTGATTACATAATATGGAATATTTTATAATCAAAATATAACCTGTCAAAATAATAAATTATACAGTTGAAATGCATTTTCCTATAATGAACAAAATTAATGCTATCATTTGATCTATTTAATATTCCTACCATGCCAATTGGGTTGCTTTGAGTTGTGCTCATCAAGTTCTGCTATTTTTGTCAGTCATGGTTGACCTCTGTACTACTACCCTTATAGAAAAATTTTATCTACGGTTAAATCATTTAAAGGTGTGCCAGTTCATTAGATGATATTGATGTGCCTCTATCAGCTAAACAGGCTAATGCCACATGTCAGAATTAGACCTGATGCAAAACCACACCCCACCTACTGCATATACATGGGTAGGCTTTACAGCTAAAAAGTATTAACCTGTGACCTGTGAGGAAATATGCAACTCGTATTTTCATGAGGTCATAGGCCAATATATATGCACGTACAGGTGTGGTAAATACGCAAAAAAATCCCGTATATAATTGGGATATTATATGGCTATATGCCTACATATATAACTCTAACATAACCAACAGAACACCATATTACGAAAAAAAAGATTCCATATTCACCATTTCACCAGCCAGTATGGAAATAAATTTAAAAACAATACTATCTTTTACCTTAGTTAAAATCATTTTGGTAACAGAGTAGCTGCCACATGGATATCTACAAGTCACTCAAAAACAGTGCATCACCTGGACTGGGTGCAAACCTCGCCGGCGATCACCAATTCCCTCGACTGTCATTATGTGCATTCCTTCCAAAGAATAAAGTGGAGCCAAGCATGCGTTTATTGCAAAGTGCCTAAATAAAGTAATTATGTTGGGTCAAAATGGAGCCCAGAGTCAAGAAATAGGCCATAACCACAAAACATGCATAACAGTTAATATATGTGATCTGCATTCACCCCTTAAAAATGGCTCATTAGAAATGCACACTATTATACCAGTTACACATACAATAGGTTAAGAAATGCAAGCAAGCTACAGCTTGCAACTGCATGCTGTGTTTCGGCTAGAGAAAGGCCAGTTGTCGAAGAATACATACTGAAATAAGGGTGAACGTATTGCAGAATCTGTTTCCAAATTGCTTGGGGGACGAAGTAAAATGGATTGGAATGACTCCATCCCCAATATAACAGAATGGAATGGAATGGTTCCAGCTAACTGTTTGGTACAAAGAATGGAGCTGTTCCAGATTTTGTTTGGTTGAGGATGGGATGGAACAGGATGATTCCATTATGTGTTTGGTTGGAGGAATGGGATGTAATGAATATGGTAAGTCACCTCTTGCATAGAAAGGGTGAGGATACCTCTTAGTATGCTGTGTTTCAACAATAACTCATTTGCATTTTGAGCACCAATTTATTCGAACTTTCAGCAACAATAACTCAAATTAGATAGAGTGGGGATGACATGACTTGTTGAAAGAATATGATCCTCACTAGGATTTCTTTGTAGTTTGATCATAGCATGAGACCATGACAGTGCAGGCCCCACATCCACCTTCACCACATCCAAGTTTTGTTCCTCGAAGGTCGATATCTACAATAAGTAGCTAGACAGAAATTAGAGCATAGTTAGTAAACCAACATATGTAGATGATTCAGGTACTATGTGTTAACTGCTAGTAAGTTTTACTGCATCTTGAAGGCTTGAAGCTAACGAATGCAGCAGCCTACGACAGAGGTGTCCATTAAGGCTCAGTTTGCTGTGTACAAGCATGGACGCAGGAGGATGGCTGTACCTCCACTATGTATCTCTGTTTGTCAGTTCAGTCTCATTTTTACAGTAAGAGCACACTTCCAAATTAGCTGTCTGAAGATATAAATAAAACTGATTCTATTGCTACAGTGTAGCAATAGAGCAATGCGGTTGCTTTAAAACAAGCATTCCCCAGCAAGTTTTCTAGTGCTACAGTGTAGCTAAATTAACCCGCAAGGTACTGCTATTTTTGAACAAACTCCTCCCAAAAAAGATGTATGAACTGTCCCTCCACCATAATGTGGTTGCTCTACAACTACAACAAGCATACACCAGCAAGTTTTTCTACTGGTACTGTCAGGACCGAAACCAAGACAGTTCTGAAGATCAGCAACAGCACGCTAGTTTCAGTCAAGCAACGGCTGAGATGACTCGAAGGAGCTCAGGGAGATCCAATGGTTCGGAGGGACCCTCGCTAGTTACTATCAGTTTAAACTTTACTGTACTGTAACCGTTATTTTACTATTACTGTCTGAGCTGGCCAGCTATATGTAGCGGAGGCAGCGTACGGGAGAGGCTAAGTCGAATTTCCCCAATTCATAGTAGCTAGGAACCCTAGTTCGTACTCTAAGTCCGGGTCTCTTACCTCAGATCTACAATTTGTACCTCCCAACTATCCTGATTTAATGAAATTCGCATAGATCGGACAATTGTTGGTGTTCCACATCTCACAAAGGTATCAGAAGCCAGTCAATTCATCGGCAGCGGCGACGCTGGGCGGCGAATCAAGCAGAGGAGGACGAGGGGTTGGGTTCTCCTGTAAAATCCCTCCCGTCCCTCCCTGTTTGCGGAGGCGGTGGTGACGATTCTGGAGGCGAACAAGGCGGCGGCGAATATTCGGGCGCAGATCGACGAGTCCGGGAAGGTTGCGTGGAGATCTTCTCCGCGTGGTAAAATTCCTGTTCCTGACGATGATCCGTGCGCCAAGGGAAGGTGAATTCGTCCGGCGGAGACAAAGGAGTGAAGCCCGGATCGAGGTGAGTGCAGAAATCCAAGGGTAACGGTCTTCTCTTGAGCTGAAGATGGCAGACACACGTGCCAAAGTTCAGATCACAGTGGACAGATTGGAAAAGGAAGTAGCTGAATTCAGAGAAGAGCTATCGGATATGAAAGGATTGAGAACAGAAGTACAACAATTACGCTCGGAAATGGTGACTATGCCAAGGGTAGAAGCGAAGTTGACAGAGATGAACACGGAAATTCAGAAGACACTCAACTTGATCTTGCAAAACATGTCCTTAGGCAGTCAGAAGGTCGAGCCAGCAACACCGAGTGATGTTCCTCAGGTGTGTTCAGAAATGGGAACAAACAGTCCACAAGGATCATCAGTTCCTATTCAGACAGGAGTGGATCAGCCACCAGTATCCAGAAATCTGCAGCAAGAATTCTTGAAGCAAGGGCAGATCCCGGCCACAGTTGGGGCAGGCATAACAACGGGTTTACCTCCAGTGAGTATGTTTACTGAAAGCACCAAGGTACAGACTGACACACGTGACATAGATGTTTTTATCTAGGAGGTATGTGAACCAAAAATTCCAACCGACCCTATTGTTGAGAGGTTAAATTTAGTTGAAGAAGAAAACAATTACCTGAAGAAAAAATTGAAAAGAATTGAGGAGGTGGAGATGAGATTGGAGTAGCATGTTGCGGATGTCATCGATGATCACAAGATCAAGATGGATGCAATGTAGAAGCTCAATGCAAGACTACTAATGCCGGGAGAGAAAGAGGGAAGCGGAGCTGAGCGAAATGCAGAAGCTCAATGCAGAAGCTCAATGCAAAACTACTAAAGCTAGAGGAACTTGAGAGCCAGCGAGCTGCCGACCAACCATCTCAACGGCACGAAGCTACCCCAGAAGCTACCCCGCCATCTCAGTGGAGAAGCAGCGTGGCTTCCACGGAGCTCCTTCAGCCCGACTTCACGGCTCCTAGCTACCCCATGGATACTATCACGGATGCTCAACATTGCCAGCTTATGACGAAATGGCAGAACCTCACTTTGAAGGCGGTTGTCGGCTCTATTGCACCTCCTCAACCTGACGGAACTTTTCACTGCCGTCCAATTCCACATGGCTATGTTTTTATGACAGTGGATGAAGTAATGGAGGGATTTGAGGAGCTCGAGCTTGACCACCCTACAGGTGAAGGGGAGAATCAGCTGGTTTATGCTCTGAGGAGTACATGTCTATGGCGGAAGGAGTACATCAAGCTTCCAAACTGGACGCCTCCGCCTCCTCCTCCTCCTCCTCCGGCGAGTCAGGGCACTCCGCCTCCTCCGATGAGTGATCAGGGCACTCCGCCTCCTTCTCCGGCTGGTCCAGCGTGTGAGGGCACTCCGCTCCTCCTTCGCCTCCTCCGGCGCATCGGTGCAGTCCGCCTCCTCCTCCGCCTCGTCAGCAACGGTGGAAGACAGACGTCGCCGCTTCGGCTCCTCCACTGCGTTAGAGCACTCCGCCTCCTTCTCCGCCTCATCAGCAACGACGGAAGAGAGACGCCACCGCACCGGCGGCTAGCAGTACAAGGAGAGGCGGGAGGAAATTCAGATACGGTCCATCTCTCAAGCCTTTGGAAAAGTTACCATATGAGAGGACCGAGAAGGAAAACGAGGAGATCTCTGTTGCCCAAGTGAGGGACCATTTTGCAAAGAAACCTCCACCTCCGAAGGAGATGATAGATTTGGTGAAAGAAAAGTGCACTATCGATGCCCTGAAGCGACCACCGCCGCCTCCGCCGGATTCCAACTATGTCCACTGTCTTAAAAAGACATATGAAGATGTGCAGCGGTCGGGAAGTACTTTCAGTGATGCAAGGTTAGCACAACAAAGAAGTGGGAAAAAATTCCCCAGCTTACCGAACAGGTGAACCAATCGTGCCCCCTGCTCAAGGTGTCTAGCGATATCGTTGCTAATCCGGTATCAATCCTGCTGATTACCTGAGCCATGATGTAGAGTTTGAAACAATGGAGGTGAACCGAGGCTAAAGGTCCACTGGAGCCGGGACAAATGGGTTGTTTTCTACTAGTGTTTGTAGGTTATTCACATGCGTACCAGTTGGTTGCAATGTTGGGCTATCCTCCAAATTCAACTCATTTTTTTGCGGGGCAAATGCAACTCATTTGGTGATTTGGGAGTTGTTTACTACTCGTACGCCTGTGGCAGTTAGAGGCCTGACTTATTAATGGTGGCTGATATGAAGCTCTTCTTAGTTGGTGGTTTTTTTTTGTGATTCAAACAACAGCTTCATCATTAACTAGTAACATGATTACAATCTTTTCTAGTACACAGAAGGATGCTATCTAGCACCTGGTGTATCTAAGCACACTCCGGATTTGATTCAGAAGCAAATTTGGCAACTTTGTGAGCTGCTATATTTGCCTCCCTCTTTAACATGATAAATATCAAAACCACTACATCGTTCTACCAGCTCTTATATTTCATTGATAATCAACAAGATGCTAGCTCTATGATGTTTTCTGGATCTCCAAAAGGACACAAGATCCTCAGGATCAGTCTCCATTGTTCCTTGCAGAATATTGAGAATCTTCATCATCTTAGCTCCATCTCTACAAGCTAAAGCTTCTGCTGTTAAAACATTAGGGACTGAATCATACCATTTACTACTCGCCACTACTACAGTGCCATCAGCGTCTCTGACTATTACCCCTGAAGCTCCTTTCTCATCCTTTGCATTGAAGGTTGCATCTACATTAATTTTATAGTAGGCTTCTTGTGGACATTGCCAGTTTGTCTTGGTCTTTGTTTTGGTTCCTTCTCCTTGTGGTTTTGCATTCAACATCAGATCTGATGTTGTGTCATGCATCCACCTGCAAGCTTGAATTAGATTAGTTGAGGAATCTCCATGAATCCTATTATTTCGTGATGTCCACACTGACCACATGCCACACAAAATATATCCTCTCTTTTCCGTTGCACATACTTCATTATCAATGCAAAGGATGACAATCACCTTTTAAAAATTCTGCTACATGCAAT